CAGTGACTGAAAGATGAGCGTGTGTCGCAGCAAAACAGATTTCAAGGCCACTCCAGTGCTGCTCCCAGATAGAAAGCTATGACCGAAGGATGAAGGGGTCACCTCGACTTTTAGAGCCTGCTAGAGATGACAGTATGGCGCATTATGCTCGTGAAGAGTGTGTGTGTTGTGAGGACAGATCATAGAATCAAGTCGGGTCATCAGGAAGAATCTGCATTAGACACTTTTTTCCACAGCAGACATTTTGACTTAGTAGTAGGAAAAGCACAGGTGTTATTTATAACATTAACCATGACACACAGTGTGACAGCCTGGCAACAAAGCCAGGACTAGTGATATTTAGAGAGCAGAATCAGAATCAATTGTACATTTTCACATACGAGGAATTTGCCTTGGTATAAATTGGTGCTTACAGTACACATGAACATAAATAGAAATATATAAAAAGGAGGAGATCGACAAAATGTACAAGTATACAAAAATTACAATAATACTATAATACAGTGCAAGGGCTAAAGCAATGTCATGTATAATTCCATGCAGCGTACAATGTAATGTACATGTTATCTTGCCTGCCTGGAACTTGCTGCTTTAGATGGAAGCTATATTAATGAATGAAATGGAAACAGAGCATTACTGGTGTTTAATGGTGCTTTCCAAAAGACCAAAAGCGAAGTGAGCGTTGTGGGCGGCGCGTTTAAATTGAGGAGAGTGTTGGTCAGAAGTGACGTCATTCAGCTGCATTATTCTCTATAGTATAACAAAATATATTTAATTAGTTTTAGATTAGATCTGCTGTCATTGAGGATGATTATATCGGCCTCCTGAGTGCAGGTAATGGCTGATACCGATTATCCCAAAATGTTAGATCTCAGCCTAATGGCTACCCTATTACTAGCCAGGACCCTGAAACTGAAGCAGCTAGTGGAATTCAGCCATCATCATTTTATTTCTTTTTTTTTTTTTTTTTTTACACTGTGCTTTTTTGTACTGTTGCACGTCAAAATTATAAATGTCTATATTCTAGTCAGTATAGAGTTACAGGAAATAGTCAGACACTGTTACATGATACCAAAACTTGCAACAAAACTATTAGTCCCTCAGTAATGATGTCAATCAGCGTAGACAAACCCTTACATCCCTATTTTTAATCTTTTCACCTGATGGTCTTCTGAACCAGGGACACTACATTTTCACTTCACAAGAACCTCTGAGCATTAGGGGAACCTTCCACTTACGTCTCTGACAAACTTGTTGTAGCCGGTAAATCTCCTCTAACAGCCACTGAGAAGTGACTACAAAAGATCCTCTTGTTCAACAAACAAGGGCAGCTAACATTGTTCATATTTCCAGTTGTTTGCTCCTCTGCCCACATAAAGCTCGTATGCCTTGTGTGATTGTTAGCGTCTGCTAGCTTAGCTTAGCTTAGCTAGAAACATTAGCTCCCCAAACATCTTGATCGCCCCCGGTTGGCTTCCGCAGTATAGGTCAAAACCCCGTTCCCTCCGGTTAGCGGATAGGACACTGGCCAAACTAAACTAACTGCTAGTTTCTCCAACATTACCTACCCCAGCTTAAGCCTTAACCTTAATATTAAACCATGACTGCAGTTTAACTTAAACTTCAGATCCATGACTCCTATGGCCATTTATTTATACAGGGTACAGCTAGTTTTGACTAAGCCACAGGTTTAAACCACAGCAGTAGGGTTAAAAGAGTACCCCATCGATTTTGCATTGCACCACTATACAATCAGTCAAAATGGATGGATCACAATCGATGCAGCAGTGTCAAAAAACTGGCACCTACTACACCCACAAACCCGTCTTAAGCCTTACACCGCCGCTAAGCTGATGACACAGCAACAGCCCCCATCAAACTTTATTCAGTGGAAAAAAAGAAGAATAGTGCTGCCTGCTTTTGCCTGCACCCAGACTTAAGAGGCTGCGAGAGTGCAGAGGGGGGGTGACTGAACATGTGCAGTTACTGATTAACTGTATAATAAACAGTCAGTCTAGTCTGGCTCAGCAGTGGCCGCACACCTGTCAGTGTCAGAGCTGTGCACAGGTCAGCGCTCCTGCACAGCACGACTCGGCTTTAATGTATTTGTGAGATGAGCAATACTGGCCGATCCATCAACATCACGGTTATGGAAAGGCAACTGGTCTGTCTGAGTCACAGCAATATGGGCAGGGGGGGAAAACAGAGACAGGCGGAATGAAACATCCACGTCTGCGTTTGGGCGGTACATGCACACATCGCTACTTTAAGTTTTGTCCTCTAATTGAGATTTTCCTGTGTCATTGTCAAGTTTCCACCATTATATAGACAAAGAAAAGACACGATTAAAAGAGAAGGATATAATCAAATAATGATTCAATACTGGATGAAATAAACATTTGTTCTTGTGCTTGAAAAATAGTAACAGATATTGCCAAATCAGATCTGAGTTTCATTCAAGTAGTCAGAGGGCAAAAGCAGCTGAGATGAAATCTGAACATGCACTGAGCCATGTCGTGATAATAACCCATAAAATTGGTTAGCTGTGAGGCCGCTGTCCAGGATCTGCTCCAAATCTAATCCTCCCTGGTGGTTTATGTGCTCTGCTGGCCGCAGATGGCTCAAAGTAAGATGAAATTTGTAGACAGAT